GACAGAGGCGTAGCGCGAGAGCGCAGGGGTGCTGGGGGGAACCCCACGCCCTAAACGCCCAGCAAGCAAGCAAGCAAGCAAGCAAGAGAGAGTCACGCCCCTTCAATCGCCCCGAAGAACGGGGGGCCTTTAAAGGCCAGGGGGTTTAACAGACCCCCTATGCCCGGAGGAAGGAGAGAGAGAGAGAGAGAGAAACCCACAAGAAACCCACGAGATCCCCATTACCAACGCCACCATTGCCGACGCCATGCAACTTACCTACGGCTGTTGCGAAATCTACATCCATTGGCCACAATCACCGCTTTCCTCCAGCTCGGCCTCCGCAGGCCTCCCACCAACTGGCCCTGGACAAACAGGATCCTGGTCACCTCACACCCAAAGGCTGGGCCCTAACAGTGAAACACCCCTCGTGGATTTCCCCGCGCAGCACAGTCGCAATCCAGACCCAGCACCCGGTGACCAAGAACATGGGGCTTCCCCCCAAACCCACCAAGCCAAGCCACAACCAACCCCAACACAGATCCACCCACTGTTCGATGGACGAGACCTTCGGCGAAGTCAAAGCAACCACAATCCACCACCTGCCCCTGACACCGAAGCCGAGACAGAAGGCACGACCGACCAATGCTGTCCACAACAACCACAACAATCACCACTACGTCCAGTACAACCAAACCCAGTCACAAAGCCAAGGATGATCCCAGCAACACGCTGGAAAGCACTACACAAACCTCATGCAACATGGGCATCCAAACCAAGCTCGAACCAAGCCCTCAGCGAAGCCAGGACAACAAGGGCCACAACCTCCCCCGCAGTGGCAGCGAACCACACAAGGACAGACGGCGCCACATGCCGTAGCCGCAACCCAGCCAGACACGGGTAACGCAGTGGACCCCCAACGACCGCAGCCGCCCCAAACATCCTCCGAGAGGATTGAGCAGTACCTCCCGCGCGTTCACGCAAATGGCACAACAACAGCCAGGGGGAATGCCCATCAGTGTCATTGCCCAATGTGCACTCTCGGACGTCCTGCTACTCCCAAACCTTCTCCGAGACCTGAAAATTGAACTCCCACCCGGCCCCACTTCCCCAAAACACTGGGGGGAATGGCCACCCTGCATCAGGAGACCCCCCAACTTGGGCCATCCCGGAAAAACCGTGCACCACCCTCGCAGCAGCACAGCCAGCAGAAACAGCCCTACGACGACTTTGCGTTCAGCCATATATACATGTCGTACTACGACCTACAGCAAGATGTAGACACGATGATCGCATGGCTGAACAGCCTTGCGAGCTCCGGTGCCGATCAGGGGGAAGCAAGCTCTTATTCGGCAAATGATCCGATGATGGTGCAGCATGCATGGGCCATTGCTGCAACAGGGCATTCAACAGCTGGGCCTCGCTCTCGGAGGAATTCAGTGAGACCCCGACCGTGGAATGCTAGCGGAAACAACAGTCTGTCTGTCTCTGTCTGTCTGCCTCTGTCTGCCTGTCTGTATGTGCGTGGACGTATGTACGTATGTCACCTGCGTCTTTAGAAGTACGACAGAACGATATCCGCATTGAATGTTATCGTATAGTTTGTTCACGTATATTATCGATATAGACATTGCAGCATTTAAAGATAAGCTTCATTGTGTGCATATCATGAGATTTACTTTGAAGAGCTCTTGCCCGCCTTCTTTCACAGTGCGGCCAGGCGACCAGCAACGATGTGCGGCACCGAGCAGAAAATCATCAGCATTTCACGTGTAAGGTGCACCCCGGCCTTCCCACTTATCGAAGCCTTGGACCAAGGTTATAGACCAATATTGGAGGATCGATGCCTTGCCACGACGACAGTGAAAATGCGTGAAGTCAGGCTCCTTTCTACATCTGCAAGCTGCCAGGAATGTTGATCGTAAAGTGATGAAGCCCGTGATTATCAGCATTCTCTTGCCTTGGCCCCAGAAGCAGGCAACTTTCTCGGCCATGCCTCCTGGGCTACCCAGGCATGCCGTGATCCTCCTCTACACGGCCTCTGGGGTTCTGCGGACATTGGGCTTAGCCCCGAGGTGGGGTCTGGCGCAGGTACCTTCCATGCAGCACCCTCCGAAATGGGACTTTCCGAAAGTTAGGGGTGCCTTATTTTGGGGTCCTTATAAGGATCCTACTATTTAGGGTACTATATTAGGGTACCCTATTTTCGGAAACCCCCAAATACTTTGCAGGAGCATCCTGGCACTGGGCGGGGTGAGCGGCCTCGCCTTTGGCCTGGCCGCGCAAAACCTGGTTGGAAATTTCATGTCAGGCAGCTCGAACGCAGGTTCACGTTGTCTTTCACCCCTGCTGCACTCTTTGTCTTTCTGGCTGTCCGAATGCTACATGACTACATAAGCTGCATTTTTCAGATTGCGGTGTGCGCTGGGCGGATGATGAGCAGCAGTCATTCCGTTACATGACATGTCTCGAGAAGTGTGCAGGCCTTCTGCTGGTTGTGCCAGCCCGAGCTTGCCTCGCACGCTGTTCGGGGGATCAACTGTACACATCAGTACCGATGTAACCACATGATGTACCTATACCATTCGTGGTAGTACTGATATGAAGTAATAACCATGGTGAACGCCGCAACTAATTACGAGTGTAGTCATGCTTACTGTGCCAGCTAGCCATACGATACCCCCAGATTGCAGCTGCTCCTCTGCAAGGCTGCGAGTTGGTGCAAAGGTGAGTTCAGGGTGGTTGCAACAGCGGGATCATGCAAGCCCGCAAGCCGAGTTGAACCGCCAATTCACCGTGGGAGATTACATCGAGACCAATGGTATCCAAGGCACGAGCCCCAAGAGAGTAATTAGCCGAAACCCGTGCTTGCAGGCATTGCCGATGATGCAGCTCCAAGATGCTTCATGTCCCTGCTTGTCCCCCGTTATCCCGCGTGTCACCATTCGCAGGCAAGGTTCTTGCAATGGGCTGGACTTTCATTGAGATCCAGCGGGGGGAGGATTTGGTCATGCTGCCCAACTCACAGGCTGTGAGCCAGGGTGAAATAGAGCACGTGATGATTTGCCGTTTGGAATTCTCCTGTCGATGCAGCTATGTCGTGCTGCATCGACGAGTGCTGGAGGTGATCGGGACAACGGTGGTTCAAATCGGACGCTTCGCTGACCCTGGAGGAGCCGCAGTTGTGCCAACGAGCGTGGTTTGTCACCATTTGTCGCCGTTTTCGTGTCCGTAATGCTCCTCGGCTGTCGGCCAGGAGACGATGCTTCCGAGTCAACAAATGCTTGACAAACCAGCGATGAGCTGCGCAGGGAGGATGTGCTGTGGTAAATCGAGTGCGGCACCCTGCTACGCCATGCTTCCACGCCATGCCGGCATGGTATTCTGCTGCGTTTTAGGATGTTTTGGGATGTAGACTGGCGCAAGAGTATCTCTTCCAACTTCCGCAAAGGAAAGCCTCACATGGTTGCCAAGTCTGTTGCTGGTAGGCAGTCGGGCTTGTTATCCGATTGAGCCGCCTGCGTGCCGTGCCGGGCTCTATAGACTCGTCAAACAGAGGGAATCCCGTTTAAAATTGATTATATAATATTATATACTCCTATATATACTCCCTGACATTTAAAAATAAAAACTCCACATCCCAGAGTCGCCGCTCCACAGCGCCATGGCCCCGAAGGCGACAGCCAACAATGTTGATTTTGTGCGTGATTCTTCAGCTTTCCCGAAACTTGAAGGAGAAGAAGAAGAAGCGGACCAACAAGCCGAGCCCACTGGAACGAATGCATGAAGCGCCTATGGCCTCAGCGTGTTGACTTCGTGTTCAAGTGGGCGGCAAAGACCCGCGCGCTCAATCGGCGTAAGTATTTTCAATTCCGAGTCTGCGCGCTGAGTTTTGGCCAAGTCGGCACGCTGGAGTGACCAAGTAATTATCCAGGACGGAAGTGTGACACCGGAAGGCTCACTATCTTCACCATGCGCAGGGGGGCATGTAGTGTCGCCGGTTGTACCAGCCCCACGCGATGTCCAATCCGCAACGCATCCCAAGCTCCTGAAACTCGGTTCGCCTCATCATTCACATTCGGTGTCGTGCAGTCTCAATGCCAAATGCCAAACTGCCAAGCCCGGTCTTTGTCTGTATCTCCATGCAAAGGCAAAGGACAGCGAAGCCTCGCGGAGCAGCTGAGCTTTTCAGCATTTCCCTAAACGTCGATGAACTCCGGGCTGGCAAAAACCAAGAAACTTCCCAGTTCGGCTAGCCTGGGCGATGCAAACATGCAAGGACGGACGAAAACGAAGAGAGCTATTATTGAATCTGCCCAAACAGCTTCGTGTCGCGAGTGCAGCTCCGTACGGTTGCAAAAAGTCCCACAAACAAGACGCTTAGGGATTCAGAGGGTCAGAACTTTAGGGTTTGGGCATGGCGAGCTAGGGTTTTGGCTGACTACAGTGACAACAGCAGCATTCAAGTTACGGCTTTGGTGGCGAAACTCGTGGCGTTTTGCTTGGTACTGTTCCCAGGTCAAAATACGTGTTTGCCGTGGACATTTTGATGTGTACTAGCACCCTCCAGTAGCTGCAGTAGCTATTCCAGTAACGATCGCAGAATTTGTTGGACCATCGGACATTGCATCTGTCGAACGCTCCGTGCACACGTTCGGGCAAGATGTGTCACCAGGATCACGACTCGAACTTAGTTGCTGGATATCTAATTTCCCCTAGGTTTGCGATGATGAACCTGGACGAAGATGCCAACATTTCGAAGGATGAGTTCCTCAAGGCAAGGCCGACGACAAGGTGAAGCGCAGGAGAGTCTGACGTGCATAGTTGTAGAGATTTGTAGAGAGTGTGTATATTTCTGATCATATGCCGCGCCGCAGGCTATGGAATCCGTCGGCATAGTTGGATCGCAAGCGGAAAGCCTCTTCAAGAGGCCTTGTCTTTCCCAGAGAAGTGCCATCACCACGACCAAGAGACATACCTCGATGTACCAAAGACTTTGGTCCAGATTCCCAGCATGCCACGCAACAGGAAATCGTTTCCGACAATGTAGCTATTCGCCAAGAGCACGGGGACAAACACTGAGCCCTCGGTGGACGTTTCAGGTTCGATCCAGATGGAAGTGGGCTGCTGGACAAACAGGAGTTTGCTATGCCTGTCCGATTGCAGCTTTGTAGCTGGAAGCCATGCCTGTGCATGCGCGGTTCGGCAAGCAACGGCTGACAGCGACGAGCGGCAGAGAGATTCTTGGAGTAGTCGCCCTACGTATTTCGGCTTGCTGCTTGTCCGGAGAGGGCAATGTCGGTGAATGTCTTATGGTAATTGAGCGACTTGCCTGACGCAGTTTGTGCAGCAAGTGCTGCTGTGCTTGCATCGTGAACGAGGAGTTCTTCGCTTATGCAGCCAAGGGGACGGCTGACGTCGGGATCTAAGATTTTGACAATTTCCTGTCTTCACTTGTGTAACCCTTCGTTCTGTAACCTTTCGGTCTGGCTCTCACAGTTACTGGCCTCGCACAGTCTAGGTTTAAACTCTGGCAACAGCAGAGACGAAAAGATATCCGAGCTTGCATGACAGCTTCGAGCGCTTCTTCGACGCAGCACCTCCGATGGGGAAGATCCCGCTGATGCGATTCTTCAGGCCGCCTCCGCATGACATGCACACGGAGATTGAGCTCTCGTAGCAAATTTTGGTCGACAATACCAAACGCTGCTTCACCTGTAAAGTTTGCTGACCGATGATGTAAAACCGACAAGGGGAAGTTGGCTGTGGATCCAGCCGCCAGGCATTCCAAGCTTGGGACGCCGACCAGGCTGTGCTTCGGCATGAGATCCTCATCCACACTGCATGACCCGAAACGTGGCACCATGCAGACCTGCAGACCAGCAGGCAGGTGTAGATTGTCGCGACAATTGTGATTCGACAGGACTTTCTAAATCCAAGCTGGCAGTAGTCGCCAGGCTGACAATCATGGCACGCACTGACATAAATGAGCCATAGCAAGATCTAGCTCCATACGTCTGGTCATCTCGTAGGATTAGTTCCACTGTGCACAGGATGGCACCATCTCCAAAGCTGAGCTGGAGCGAGTTCTCGCAGCTTGGTCTGCTCATGGTTGGCACTCCCGGGTTCCGGGTTCAAGCAATAAGAAGAGTTTCAAGTGAGTCCCAAGAGTCCAAGAGGAGTGGGTATCTTCTGGAGCCAGTTCTGGTTGAGTTTGTCGTATGCTGCATTCAAAGCGAGGTCGTCCTGAACCCATCCTTCACCAAGAAGGACATGAACAAGCTTCTGAAGGCGCTAGACATCTTGTGGCGGTTGTGCTTGCAATTTTGGAGAATGTTGTTATGGCGCATGCATGCAGGGAATGGACCAAAACGGCGATGGAATAGTGGATTACGAGGACATATTGCAGATCAATGTGCCACAGGTTGTCATTTTCTCGCAGCTCCTGCAGGGGTGGAGATTCGACTCTCCTCCGCACCCTGACAGGAGTTTGCTGACTGGCTGTGCAAGACGTCCCCACCTTACGAATCTTGAGTCCGGCGGCGAAGCAGTTGGCCTGCCCACGCGCGCTCCTGGTCCAGGAAGACGAAGAAATGATGCTTATATGGCTTGACACAGACTCAAAGTTTCACTTTCATCACTTCCCAGCGCATCATGCTCGCAAACGCGGCTGTGGCGTGAGATCAGTGATGTCCCAGGGCCTGCGACGGCCGACGAAAATCGGCCTTCCACCACGAAAGTGCAAATCTTCTCGCATAGTTCATCTCGAGACTGACAGCGGGAACTTGAGAGAGGAGCGCGTCCCAATTTGGCTCAAGAGATCTTTGCACTGCGTGTTCACACATGGTTCAGTCAACCATGTTAAGGTTGCCTAGTTGTCTAAGACTCAGAGTCGTCCTCTAGCAGGCTTCGGTTGTGCACAGCCACGGCAGACCGTAAACAGGACAGTTTACTTAGCGCATGGCCCTGCCTGTGGAGCCCCACCTCCCCAGCGTTCGGCAGCATGTCGTACCTTGAGCTTCTGTAGCACGATGTCGCCACATGCTGTGCTCGCAATCTCGTCTCTCGGCTTACAACGCCTGCAAAAGGCAAGGCCGGGACCGGGGAAGGCTGTGTGCTTGCAGAGGCCTGGTCCGACAGAGGATCGTTGCCGAAGTGGATTTCACTTGCCAGGGCCTTACGTCGGAACGCACAGCGGAGCGATTCGCAGCGTGGAGCGCAGAACGGAGCCGAGGCCGCGAATTGCGCGGACTCACCGTGTTCGAGTTCCATGAAAGGCCCAGCAACTTCAATTTGTACCTAAGTGAGCCATGGTGAGCCCATGCCGCCGGCATGAGTTGTTGCGTGCTCCATGCCATGTGTGTGGAAGCTTTCTCTCGGTTCATGAATCGGCGGGAACTCGTGTCGAAGTTGACGTCGGGCCTCCGTGCAAGGGACGTTGGCGAGAACGAGGGCCACGAGGTTCTGGTGCACTTCCCGGCACATAGCGGAAGTTGCAGGCAGCCTGAAAGTTTCGAAAGCCGTTGAGGATGTAAGATCTCCGCATTGGGCAGGGCCAGAATTTGCTGTTCGCATCGGTCCGCTTGTCCTCCAAAGGCAGAGGCTCCCAGCTTGTTTGATGCCGTGTTAATGTTTTCCGCACTTTTCGTGGACTCGTCCTATCTTGAGTAATGACATGACCCTTCGATTGGGCGAGGACGAGGCTGAACTGAAGGAGCACAAAGTTTGCTCTTCCTGGAAGTCTGCAGCAGACGACTGCGACACAGAGCCCTTGGCATCATTGGCCAAGATCGGGGCCCCGAGCTGGACCGAAGTGGACTCTGACGAGAATGCTGTGCAAGTGTCAGGCCAGGCCAAGGTTTTAGAGTAGCTGTTTAGGCGACCGTGATATTATATAATAGTAACCATTATGATGACCATTAAACTATGCAGCAACCCATAATAATGTCATTGCAAATCCTACTGTAGTGACCCTTAGAAGGAGCTTTACGTTTACATGCGTTTACCTGATGAGCGCCTGCAGGTCTGGAAGATCTGCTGAGCTGGCAGACGGGTTCAGTGCAGGCCACCACGAAGCGATGTTATGAATGAGGGTCACTCTCCGGGATTTCCTTGCGGGTTACTATAAGGCTTACCATGGGGTCACTACCAGGTGCATCGCATCGCAGCTTCTAGTGGTAGCCAAGTCGATTGCGAAGTCATTCTGAGTCATGTGACAGGTGCTTGCCCTTCATCTTGGTGGCATCCTTGATTTCGCAAGCGAAGACTTGGACGAGACGCTCCTTGACATGTGTTGCATGCGCATTTCTCCCCAGCATGCTAGCTTCGACTGCTGCCATCTCCTGCCCACTCAGGCTGACATCTGTTGAGATTGCGGTCCAATGGGTCATCGAAGGTGCGAGACTTCCCGGTCTCTCCATGCATCCTCCATCCTGTGATGTTGCTTCGTGTGTGCGTCACGTGCAGGCCAGTGGCTGCGACCGGAAACTTGCTGCAATCACTTTATCCGCCTTCCGGTCCATCCACGCGATGCAGGCAAGCTGTCTCTGTCTGCTCGCGCGTGCTGACTGGCATTGGCTTTGCTGACACCCTGCACTTGACCAGCTTCAGGTGGTGTCTCGGACGGAATCGGTGGCAGCGGTGAGGGGGAAACTTCTGCCGACATGGACTTTTTCTTGGCAGGCCTGTTGGTGCTGTGCAAAGGGTGAGAAGGCATCTTCTGTCGCAGTCCTGTGGAATTAGTCATTCGCAAGCATGTGCCCGGGAAAATAAAAACGTGGCAGAAACACACCAAAGGGCATCGTCAGAGTGCACATTCGGCGAGACCACAAATATCCGTGTGGAGAGCTCTAGGTTGCTAAGACAGCAGCCGGCATCTGCAACAGCAAGGCAGTTGTAAGCCGCAAACAGAGGGGCACTATGCAGATCGACAACATCTAACAAGCCGGTTCTGAGCTGAGTAGGTGAAGCGCATAGAAAGCTCGCAAGCATCCTTGCTGAAAGGCCATATGCGCAGCTGCCCCTCCTGGTTTCCGACCTGTGAATTGAAGGCTCCTGGCCCCAGCGCTGAGGCCAGGGCCGCGCACTGCTTTGGAGCACCCCCTGAGCTGAGGAGAAGCGCGGGCAGCCGCCCTGCCCGATGGAGCTGCATCTGAGCGTCCGAAGTCGACGAAGTCTCCAGGCCGTGACTTCGGGCCGCCTTGCCGCAACCTCGGCCGGCCTTCGCACCTTCCCGCAGCTTCCAAGTGATCCTGAGCTAGCAATCGATGAGAAACAAGCAGTTTCTGCTCAGGTTGAATCTGTGGCTTCAAAGGACGATGTCACCTGCTTCAAGCCACTTCGCCCGCAACATGTTCAGGACCTCTGTGCACTGCATCGGAGAGAGACTGAGAGAGGGGCGCAGGTTTTTTTTCCCAGCGGAAGCAAGGTACCTCGAGGCGTGTCCTTTGGCTCCACATGACGTTCCACTCGTTGTCGGGCCCCTTGCCGAGGAGGTCTATGACAAAGGCCGGATGGCAGTTTGTGGCTTCGGGGTTCGGGGACAGAATTAGTCTCGCAGCAAGGCTTGGCACGGCGGTCTTTCGAAACTTTCTTTGGGCTTGAATCCTGCCCTGACTCATGGAAGTCAAAGAGATGCATCGTCGAAGAACTTCCCCGCCTTGACAGGCCGGCTCATGGCACCTCTCGGCTTCCAGGACAGAAGCACACCGGGGGGGGGGGTGGTGGGGGTGGTGGGGGTATTTCGGGGGCTCCAGGGGTTGCAGAAGCAGTCGAAAGTTGCCAGTTGCGTCTATCGTACTATAAGACGGCAACAACAACGACGACAACAGCTACGACTACGACTATGACTACCACCACTCTGCTACTGCCAGTATCAGGCAACGGTTGTGGTTGATAACTTCAGATGATTGTGCTTGCAGCTCCAATGTTGGTGGCAGCATGAGCTCATATGTTAGTTGGGGCTGAGTCTGCTGAGATGCCGCAGTTTCCCAGAGTTTGAGGGAGGAGCTGCACCACCCTTGATTGATGTGTCAACATCCTCTCTACAATCTTGTTGACTAAATCCGTCAAGTTCCGCCATCCTCTTCAAGGTATGACACCCAGTTTCTGGTGCACAGTAGCAAGTACGGATCTTTAAAGGGCTTCCACAAGGGTCCTATGGTACAGGGCCAAAGTCTTCGAGCGAGAGGCCTTGCTTCCACAAGCAGCACGTGGCGCAGGCGCTACACTGCGAGGCGTGGAGGAGGCGTGCCTTGGCTTCTGAAGTGCATTCAGGGGCAGTTTGCTGAGTATGCGCGTGTACTGGCTGATGCCACTCTTACGCAGTACCTTGTCTAGTATGAACGGTATAGAGTCATCAAGCTGCTCGAAGTTCTTTGACGACCAAGCCTGTAGATCATCTGTAAGCCTCAGCTCAACCAGAGGTCTTTGCTAGGGGCGGAGTCAAGGCAGATGCTAAAGATCTGTGCCCTGCAGAACCCCAAAGCTGAAACGCTCTGCCAAAGAAAGGAAAACATCGGAACGTCCGTTTAATCCGTTTTCTGTTTTCCGAGGCTCAGTCGCGCTTTGCCGCTGGCTGCTTGTACCGAGGCACAAAGCATTCCAAGGTCACCGCCCAGATGAGAGGATCGAGGGGTTTTGGGACTAGATTCCTAGATCCACACTGCCCCGGAGGTCGGAGATGGGATCAAGCCCTCTCCGGCCTTCCGGCGTCTCTCATGTGAACACTTAGTTGCCCCTTGTTGCTTCATCGAGCTTCACCTAAGCTTACATCGGTAATCCTCTTGGAACTTGATGCTCCTGTCGAGCCTCCTCCCCACGATAAATAATCGGGAGACTGTTGCTCATTTGCTCGCAAAGAGCAGCCCATTTCTGATTCTGATACTAACTAATGCTGTTGTTGACAGTGAACTTGGCTGAGGCACCTCGCTATTTCTGCCGTTGCCGCATCTGCGACCGGCAGCAGCCCCAAGGCTTGCTGATGCGAAGTCTCTGGGCAAAGCTGCGGCCAGCTGGGATGCCAGGCCCTTTGCCTTTTGGCAGACAGAGCCGTACCAATCGTGTCAGTTTGACGGCAAAACTCCCAGATCCCCTCTCAGAGACCTGACACCCTTTTGGTAATGATCTCTGTTTTTGCTTAAAGTACCCTACCGGATGTAAGAACCCCCCCCACCCCCGTTCCACCGATCTAAGGGCTCGAGCCTGCCATGTTTCGACATCCACGGTGGCATCCACTTCTTCGACTTGTCGCTCTTGACCAGTCGCTTGGAGTGCAAGACAGGGGAAAGGGGAGGGAAAGAGCCAGGCGAGGGGCCAATAGCGGTGTCAGAGCAGGGAAGCCCATCTCTTGGGTTTCGGGTATGGCCTTTCGCGTATGATCCCTGCGACCTAGAGGGCCTCAGGTCTTCCACCATCATGAGGTGCTGCATTGCACAGCAGTCTCCAAGACATGTGAGAGACTAGCTCGAAAGTCGTAATTAAGGTTCATGCCCAACGCTGTGCTCCGCCGTGCTGAGACCGTTGCAGGCGTATGCCTTCGCCACTGCTTGGCCCGAGGCCTATGTCGAATCGTGTTCTGCGAGAGAGATAGATAGACAGAGAGAGAGAGAGAGAGAGAGCAAGTGTGTGTGTGTGTGGGAAACCCAAGCTACAACGGGCCAAGGACATCTAGTCAAGTGTCAAAAAAGGTGCAAGGAGAACAATCGTGCTGTCACCAACGAAGACTGCTCTTGATTCTCGTGATGGGTTCGTGGACGCACGATCCTGTACCTGCCAATCAGCTTGTGACGTATGATCAAGCTAACCGAGCCGATTGAGGGGCCCCTGTCAACATTTGCTTTTTTGACGCTCTCAGATGAGATCTGAGTGAATATCGCACGCATGAGATCGATCTTCAGGGAAACCTGGTTTCGATCGGGCAAGGCCGTATCCGTCCCTGCGCCATTACCGCCGCTCTCGAGGCAGTATGTGTTGAGATAGAACCCCGAGTGGGATGGATGGTTCTTGGACAGGTTCCAACAGGCCTCAAACAACAGATCGGCAAGTCTACGTTGAATGGGAAAGTGGAAAGGTCTACTTTTGAGATACATGGTGAGATCATCAGGATGAGATGGTGCAGATGAGGTCGTTAAGATCATGAGATCGCAGCATTTTCTTAATTAACTATTTCAATTGTGTAGTTTTAGGACTTCTTGGTTGCTTTTTGGACTTCGTGGTATCAAGATGTAAGAGTTCTACTCGTAGCTTGTCAATGCAGCCGGCCAGCTCCCTGTGTTCACCGAGCTGGTGGAAGCTGCTTTCTGGAGCAAACAACGAGGACGACAACGGCAAGACCGGCCTAATGCTCGCATCCAGCAGTGGCCAATGGGAGATTGGACGTGCCCCTGCAACCCTCCTCAGGAGGTTTGTGTGTGTGTGTGTGGGAAACCCAAGCTACAACGGGCCTAGGAAATCTAGTCAAGTGTCAAAAAATGGCAGAAGGCGCCAGGAGAACAAGAGTGCTCCAACGAAGACCGTTCTTGATTCTCGTGATGGGTTCCTGGACGCACGAATCTGTACCTGCCAATCAGCTTGTGACGTATGATCCTGTAGGCCGTCCCTGGTGCCATCACTTGATGTCCTCGCTGTGCAAATCTTTTCATTCAACTGACTGCGGTGATGGAGCAATGTGTGACAACAAGTGCCAGATGACCCATGGCTTCAATTTTTATTAATCAGCAACCAGGTAGCGGGTCCCATGAAGATTTTCTGTTCGACGCTCTCAGATGAGTGTGTCTCTGCGTGTGCGTGCTTGTGTGTGTGTGTGTGTGACTGTGTGACTGTCTCTGTCTGCCGGGCGTTGCTTCGGTGCAGCTGGCTTTCCTTAAGGTTCGGCATCTCTGTGCGACTCGAAGCGGACGAGCATGCCTGGCTTTTTCACGGCTTGTGCCGGCTGTTGTCAGACAGCTCCCTGATCCACACATGGCCCAGCGGCTTGGCAGAAGCCGAAACTTTGATGCAGATGAGGCCCCACTGCCACGTTTTGTTTTGAGAGCCCGCCCGTGTCGCACCACCTGAGGAGATCGCTGCCAAACTCCGGGAGGAAGGCCGCCTACAGACGGCCGAATGGCCTGAAGCATGTTGTGCCTTGTGCTTTAAGTCTCGGAGTGCTCGGACTCGTCAGGTCAGCTTTGGCACGCCCAAGTCGAGGCTGGTCGAGACGAGCAGCCGCTGGCTGTCGCCAACGCTGTCAAAGAGCCGACCCCCTTCTCCCCAGGCCTTTCTTGGTTCCAATGTTTTCACTGAGCCAGCTTTCCTCATCTTCCTCCGGAGGTAGCTTCGCGCAACTTCTGGGACCTGTGCGGGAGCTGAAGGCCTACTTGGCATGCCACGAGTTGTGCAGGCACGGAGGGGCCTCGAGAGAATTGAGCGCTCCTGCCTTGTGCTTCTCCGCGAAGGAGGCTGGACTGGGACAACTTCCACATCAGGCTGGCTGCCATCTGGGGGAAAACGGCCACGCGATGCCTGACCACCACGCAATTCCTCGAGCTGGTTGGGGGCGTGGATAAGGATATCCTTTGCAGCACCAGGTTCTGTCTCAAGTTTCAGCGGTGCGAGCCCATGAGTCGGCAGCTGGAGGTTCACAGGCTGCTATGAGTCATCATAGGCATACAATATGGGGTTGTGGGTCGTAGGTTGTAGCTGAATATTATAATTATAGCTGATATAGCTGAATTAGCTTCCGCTGGCCTACTCTGACCCTTCTTGCATCCACCTGTGAACCTTCATGTGTTGTGTACCATCGGCGTGGCAATCTGCCGCAGGACTTCGCTTCGCAGTGGATCTACGGGCTGGGCTGTCCTGTCGTCCGTGTGGGCTGGTTCTACAACCAGGTGCTCCCATCTTTTGCTGAATCTGCTTCCGTGGCCTGTGCAAGACCAGAAAAAACTCTACTACCCTCAACCACTTAGTCACAGAACGTCCAAAGTCAGGCGCTTCATCGGTTGGAGCTGTCAGCATCACAGCTGCCTCTGGAGCCGACACCGCTCCAGAAGCCACCGCCTCTCAGCTAGGGGCTCAGACATGCGAACGCCGCACGCTGTGCTTACGGCTGCCGCAGTAGCATGCAACAGGTGCTAGCTTCCGTCCTGTGCGTATCGGGAACTCTTTGAACATCTTACCAGGGAGTGGGTATGACTTCTGCCTGGAAGGCCACCTCACGAGACGGGCCGGCAAGACGGGAGTGGGCTTTGGCTATCTTGGCCATGCTTCTACAGCTGCTGCAGCCCAGGCAGGCCCAAACAGCTGCAGGAACCATCGTGATCATAGCCTTGATAGCCGGTAGCTTTTCCGGCCGATCCAAACTGCTCCCTTCGGAGCTCTTTGGCGGCAGCTTCCACAATGAACAGCTTACTGCTGAATGACCCTTGTCGCAGAGTGTAGCGACATTGTCCTTGACTCGCGGTTGGGGTGATCGATGTCTTCCGCGGTTGCTTCAGGTGAGCAGCGATCCACGAGAAGCTCAGAAGGCCCCGAAAATGCTGGTAAATCAGAAACTTCGGATCATTCTGACTGTGGTTTGCCGGTCCTGCCCACATGACATGGAGGAGATCCGTTCTTCATCCGAGGTGCCGTTCAAGTACTGGACCGGAACGCTGGTGCTGGACATCTATGGAAGGGGCTCCCAAACTCCCGGACGGGTCGAGATCGAGCTTACCAGTCCAGATGAAGGTGCGAGAGGGAGGAGGGGGGGTCAGCAGGGCTCATCTGAGTCTCGTGCCGACGTGAGATGGTGCCATGTAGACCCGTTTCCCTGACAAGCGGCCTTCATGCTTGCAGTTCGCACAACCTCCCTGCTACCGCCCGGAGTGGACCAACCGGCGCTGGGGCGCCAGGAGCACCTGCACAGCTTTGAATTCGATTGGGCAATCACTGAACGAGGTGACACACAGACAGTCAGACAGAGACGGACACAGGTAGTCAGGCAGACAGAAGGACGGCCATGCACGTTGATGCGCGAGCTGAGCTTCTTCCGTGTAGAGATGGACTGGTCCCGGCGAAGGAAGCTGAGCTGCCTTCCGGCCTGGCTTTCCTGGTCGTGGGGCCACAGAGGACTCAGTGGCCCCTCGTGCGGCTTGAGATCGCCCAGCCACTGGAGTTTTGGGAAGGCAGCGTGACCGAGTGCGGCGCAGACAGCAGACAGTTCCAACCGAAAGTTGTGCAAATCAGGCATGCTGCGGAGCTCCGCAGCACCTGCTGCTGAGGCAGATGCAGCCAAGGCAGCGCAACGTTTTCGCTTGTGGGAGCACATTACTTGGCTCAGAGCCGCAGGCAATCGGAGATCTGCTGGAAGCTGGCCAGCTCCCAACTGGCGCTGCAATGTCAACTCTGTTACAGGCGACGTCGTCATTCCCAACTCTTTAAATATGCAAATTACTGGCATCCGCTTGGCTGCTGTGACTCGAGAGCTCTTCTTCATGGTGTCTGTGAGGCCTTGTCGATCCCTTTGAAGGATGAGGGCTGGCATGAGATTACCTGCCTTGCCCTCAGGCAAGCTCATCCACTTCGGAGATGGGCTTTCTCAAGCAAGAAACTCATTCCAGTTCAGCTCTGAGCTCAGGCGTGGAGTGTGCGCTGACGCTGTGTCGATGGGCCTCGAAGTTGCAGAAGGGAAGCGCGCTTCGCAGTTCTCTCTTCAGGCACTGCTGCAGTCTTGAAAAGCCTGTACAGAAGCACCCTAATGCGAGCCAACAAGTCTAGAATGAGTCCAAAAGATCCTAATACACACCAAGAGTCCTAAACACACCCCCACGAGTTCATCCAGCCGTCTAAGCTGCGACTTGTAGGCCACTCCATGAGTTCTTCAAAAGCAGCCGGGCGGCGTGGCAAGCCGACACAGGTTGCACCTGCGGCACTTCGGGTTGAGAGTTTCGGGTGCGTGACAGCGAGACAGAGGTAAACGGAAGGACGTTGCCTGTAGAGTGGGCATCCATTCCTTTTGGGCCCCCCCATCTGTTCAGAGCCATGTTGAGGACCATTTGTCATGGCTCTGGATTGGGCCTCGTGTGGAGCAGCAGGGACTTTAAAAGTCAGGCCAAGGGCCATACTGCTTTTGCAGGCATGGCTCGTGTGCGGATGCAAGTGGCGAGGCCTGATACCGCAGTTTGCTATCTGTCTTGTGCTGATATGCTACTGAGTCGTGGCCTTGATTTCCAAACGTTGTACATTCAGCTCTTGTTTGATGCTGATGCTGCGGTTGCATGTCGTTGGACCTGTTCAATGCCCGTTCTTACTCTCGCTTACTTCCACCAGCCAGCCTTCTTCCTGGCTGATGGCGGCCATGCTGATGATGTCAATTGTTCTGTAACTGCATTCCGTAGACAGCTGCGAATGTCGGCCAAATGCACCACAGTCATGGACCGAATGTCCCAAACCCAAGACCTTCTGCATTCTCTAAATGTGCTACTAGGATTTCAGCATTGTCCATCGCGATTCGTCGACGTCGTCATCTGTTGTGTTCCATGGGTATCCACTCCGTCACTCCGGTCTTCGTCTCGCTTTTCCCCAAATAGTGTAATTACATGTAACTACGGGGCTCTTACATTGCGAGCAAAGAGAACGGGTTCGTTTGCGTGCGTGAGGTCGTGAGGCACCCGCGAGACGCACATGGAATTTTCCACACTCCCGCTGTGATGCGGTGCATATTTTGTCCCATTATTGGCAGACTCCCTGTGTGGCCGTGTTCTCCCAGAAAGGGGGTTTCATGTTACATGTCAGTACACTTGCACCATTGTCGGATCGAAATGTTTGATTCACGCCAGTGTCCAGAGGAGGCAGTTTGGCCGCAGCCCATCAGAGAAGCATTGTGGTAGGGGAGTCTGTCGAATGCTAACATCTGCCAGTACATGAAAACGATTTGCACATGGTATCCTGAAGCGACTCGAAACATCTCGAAACTCACATAGACCAGACAAGAAGCGTTGCGGTAATGGTGCCTTTAGAAGCTCAATCCCGACAGTACATGGGGGGCAGGATTTTGGTCCCGCTGGTGTCCTGGTCGTCTCCTCGTGGTTTCAAGGTGGTCTCCGGGTGGTGTCCTATGCCCGCCTTCTTGCTGGCAACGCATCGGTAGCTCTGCATGGTGACAAGTTCTCTTGCAGGTGCCTTCAAGGCCGCACCTTCCGCGCTCTTGAATTGCGCCTTCGGCCTACCTATGTACAAATATAAATCATAAGTATAAAAGATGAACTATTTAACTATAAAAGTGTATATATATATAATATACACACATATACATATATACATACATAAGCACATACATATATCTGTGTACATGCATGCATGCATACATACGCACAAGAGAGGAGCCTTGAAACACTGGAGTACCACTTGTGCGCACAAGCCCTGTAGACATGCAGAGAATGGCGAGAGCGAGAGAGAGAGGGAGGGAGGGAGGGAGGGAGAGAGAGAGAGAGAGAGCTCACAGTGAAATACCCTCGAAGGACACAAGAGCGGGGTTCAGGGCTGGACGCTCGCTGGACCTCCCACCTGGTAGAGCGAGAGATGCGAGAGAGGGAGAGAGCTCTCAGCCTTTCGCAATGGGGGCCCTGTGACGCTATCCCACCATCCTTATTGTGTAAAGAGAGAGCGCGAGCCAGCGAGCCCGCGAGAATGAAGAGGCGCTAGAGCGAGAAAGCAGCGGGTGGGAGACTCTGATAGACTCGGACTCGGAGTTCCTTTCCTGGATCACTTCTGTCACTGAGATGGCGCCACTGCCTTCCTTTGGAGCTTTGCTACGAGTCATCTCGAGAGGAGCTCTCAGCATGCAGGTTCAGTCTCAATCACTTTTCACAGACCTCAGTCCCAAGCCAGGATGCCTAATTACTAAATTTCGTCTTTGTCGTCTGTGATCTTGGCCGGCTGGCATGGCTTTTGATCCACAAGCTACCTGACAGCTCCTTCAGGACCCGCTGAGCATCGCGTGCCTCGAGATCCAACGCGATGTGCCACACAATTCTCGATCCGATGTGTCGGGTGCGATTGTCAAGCGCCTGCGACTGGAATCGGTGCCCGGACTTTTACGAAGGAAGAATCATTGCAGCCGCGGCCAAGAACTACTAGATGAGGACGGTTCAATCAACCAAGGGTGTCCAGCTCTGCTGGAGAGAAACCTCAGAGGGATTTATTGGGCCACTACTTGTTCAAGTTGGATTTGCCTGGTCTGCCAAGGCCCTTCCCTCAGAAGGGCATCACTTGGCGGCCGCCGCCATCCGCATTTTGCTGGCCCTCTGCGCTCGTGGTCAGGCTCCGAGGGTGTCAAAGGCCTCTCCTGTCTCAGCCCACCCCACTCCCATATTTTTCACAAGGTTGCTTCATGAATGGTCGAAGATGTTGAGTGAAAGCTCCAGTGCTCCGCTCGAAAGAAGTGTAAAGAGCCGATCGAGTGAGTTTCTAAACGGCAGAATCATTGTCGACCAATCAAAAGTTAGACAGGCAAGGCCACTACAGGTCACCAGGCAGGGGTGTCAAATAATGGTCCAAAGTTGAATGCCTCCCTTAGGGGCAGGCTGGACAGACAGCTGCCTACACGGAGAAAAAGTCAGACGCAAGATGCACAGCTAGAGCCCAAACCCACAGAGGTGCTGCCCTTCATCCGATCCTTCCTTGGTTCCCCGTCGATGTTCATGTACTAACGACGAAAGCACTTCAGGCTGAAGCTGCTCAACCCTGGGATGACTTCCTCGTCGAGGTGCCCAGCAACAAAGGGCCAAGTCCCCTGCGCTCTGCCTATGCGAAGGCGCGCATCTGTGCGGATTTCAAAGTCAGAGATTCTTTAGCCTCGCAGAGCTCTGTGCGCTTTCTGCGAGGCTTGGGGTGTCCTGGGCCCGGCTCCGAGCTACCTCGAGGTGCAGGATGGAGGTTTTTTTTCCAGAAGAGGGTTGCCTTCTCGGAGTTCTGTTGTGCTCTCCGGTCATGATGAAGAAGCGTTCGCTGTCCTTAGCTGTTCCTGCAACCGCACGAGCCCGGGGTTTGTTCCTGACCGATGAAGATGCATCGCCCACATTCAGGCCTTTGCAGAAGCTCCGAGTGGAGGCTTTCGATGGAGTCGCGCAGTCCGGCGGGAGGCTTGTGCGGCAACTTGCCAGTGTCTGGCCCTCAGGCAACATTAGCAAAGTTCTGTGGAAAGTCATGCAAAATCCAAGAAAGATGCAGAACACATTGCAGAACGGCATAGCAGTGCACCTGAGTATCGCCATGAGGCCCAGCCTAAGCTGTGGCCTGGTAGACACTTTTGTTTGCACGTTGCATTGCCAGCTTGAGACCCCACACTATAAAACCCTTGAAGTCCACAAACTCTCACTAAGCACTACTTCTCACCTAAGGCGCGGAGGCCGGGGAAGCCCTGGAGGCGCTGTCGCGGGTGCTTGATGGCGATTCATCGGACGCCGGAGGCCAGACACATGTTTAAGCAAATATTTGGGGTTTAAGGTTTGCAGTTGCCGTGCGAGTCGAGTGCGAATGTGGAAGGCCCCCAGAGACCCCAGCTGGAATCTGCTCGACTGGTGCTTCCTGCCCCCTCCTCTGCGATGGGGGGCGATGTTGTGCGCATCGGGCACGTTGCCGGCCGAAGCGCAACGTCCCGGGCGTTGTGTTGACTACCCGGCAGCTGGAATCGGCTCCGCGAGATGAGCAACAAATTGGAGACTTTCTCATACAAGCCCCAGCGCGCGCAAGTTCCGTACGTTCCGTGTACGTACTCGACGTACTCGTACCTATGCAGCTTGGAGCTCGCGCTTTCGTCGAATCCGTAGGAGGGTGAGCTCGTTCATCAGTATTGGTGCTGGGAAGAGCGTGTTCTGGTACCCCACGGGCTGCATCGAGGTCAGGGGCATTCAGGGGTTTAAGCATAACAGATGGGCGACTCCTGCGCTGCGTTGAGGGGGGTGGGGATTTGGATGGCTCGTGAACGTGAGTCAGTGTGCATCTGGCCTTGCATGCTTAAATCCATGTGAGATGTCACTCAGCAGTGCGTCTTGTCCTGTGGAGGAACGTGTCTTTTCTCCCTGGCCCCGGCTCCTTAGGTGAACAGCTGCAGCGAGCAGTCTGGGCAGGGGAGGCCTCGCATGGCCTGGCTGGAAGCTTTGGTGAAGCTCCATGTTCCTAGTGTCCATGCCTGCTCGACTGCAGATGACAGAATGTTGCTCCCGGGTTTCAGCTCATGAGAGTGATCATTGAACTCGACGCGACGAAGTGGCAAACATCACCGGCTGCAGGCAGTGTTGCTTCGCTCACCGCCCGGCAGCCAATTGACGACTTCGGAGTCGGCTTCGAGGCAGAAGTGGCAGAAACTGCGGAAGCAGCTGATGGAGGACCCCCGCTGTAACGCAGCCCACGCCGGGTGCAGACCGCCTCTCTTGTGGGAGAAAGTAAAGGGAATGAGAGAAGGAAAAGCAGAGTGATAGAGAGAGGGAAGCCGAGAAGTCTCACGAGGACCAGACGAGGGGTGTGCATTTTCTCTCCCTCAAGTCTCCGACGGTAGAAGAGGGATTGAGAGAAACAAGGGAGGGAGTGCTGCGAGCGAGATCGGGCTCCACTGCGTGCTGGGCGGGGGTCTTTGCCCACCCTTATCTTTGCAGGAGGAGAAAGAGAGCCAGATAAGACAGAAAGGGTAGGACAGTAGGGGAGTCCTCCGACATGGTGAAGAAGAGAAATCAGAAGAGAACAAGTAAAGGCAGTCTCAGATTCAGATTGTTCTATGCACCGCGAAACAAGCGCGGCTCCAAAGCGAGAACACGGCACATCGTCAACTTGCAAGAGTGCAGGACGACTGGCAGCTGTGGCCGGCGTGCCTCGGCTCAATACAGAGTCGTTTGCTTTCTCTGGCACTCACCGCGGCTTGGTCGGTTCCGAGGTTGCTCGCTGCGCTGCGACCCACTCTTGCCCTTTGTCGACGTGGCCCGGCCTGGTATGATCACGGCGAAAGGAGGGCATGTCTTGCACTTCGGGCGATGGTGGGATGTCCACGCCTGACATTGGTGGCTGTAAGGCGAGGCGAGCCAGAACTCGCAGAAGGCGCCCAGCGCAAGGGCCAAGGGCCATGGGGGCCCCCTTGGAGTGTTCGAGTGTTCGATGCTGTGGGGAGAGGCAAGACGAAAGGCACCCGCCGAGGGAGCCTTCTGGAAAACGCCAGGCCTGAGCGGAATCTCCACGCTTGCTCTTCGCCGTGCACTCTTGTTCCAGCAGTGCACATCTTTGAGTTTTGAAAGGGTGGGTCCAGGTCTCTTTGCTGACATTGAGCCCTCTCATCCACAGCATGCCACCATCGCCGCCTTGAAGACGCCACCGGTGCCACAGCCGCAGAAAGGGGAACGTCCAGCGGGGATGGAAGCTTGGGACTTGGGATGTCCAGTGATCAAGATCTGGCATGTTCCCATACCTTCAAACGCATGCTGGGTGATGCTGGCATGCGTTGCTCACACCTGTGGCAGGCCAAAGCAGCCAGGGTTGGGGACCACGGCGAAGCCACGCGCGCAGTGACTCTGTGACTGCGCAGAGAGTCCGATGCCAGAGACTTGCAACAGTTACTGAATGCCTTGACTTGCCCGCTGTGCGGGTTAAAACTCGGCAGACGCAGGTGGGTCCCAAGAATAGACATTGGCATCGGATCTCTATGTACACAGCTCCGAGGAGCATCTATCGCTTAAGACTTCAGCACTATCAGAAGAAGAAGCTGTGAATCGAACATCAAAAGAGATCGGGACGAACGAGGTGTGCAGCTTGATGGTCAGATATGCTGAGATAGTATAAGATGCAAGCTGTGGCAGATCTGAATCGCCTAATGTGTCCGGCAATGCATCCGATTGGTTCGCTTCAGACAGCCATCTGCAGCATTTCGGGATCAAGACTTGTGTCCTGTTGAGCCGTGGTTGGCCTGAACCTCAGACCACCCGCCTCTGGGTGTCGGGGTGACTTCGTTCGTTTTGACCTGATGATTCTTGTCCCAGCTCAGGGAGCTTCCATACACATATATGTGGGCATATACGCGTATGTATATATATATATGTATATATATATATGTATATATATATACACACATACATACATACATACATACATACATACATACATAGATATATATATATACATATCATATTTTATTTATATGTATCCGTGCATGTCTGCAGCAAATCTGCGTGCATACCTGTATATCTGTGTATCTATCTCTATGTGTATGTAATTATGTATGTAGTGTATGTGTGTAGGTGTGCATGTGCTTGCATGGATTTGTCTACGTATGTTTGCATGTATGCATGCAAGCATGTATGTTTGTGTGTATATATGTGTATGTATGTATATATATATGTATGTATGTATATGTATATGCACATATGTATGAATCTATATATGCGTATGAGTATGTGTGTGTTTATTTCCATCTGGAAAAGGTATCAGGCTAAGCCAGTAAAGTTGCCGAGGCTCCGAGCGGAAATGGCGTAGACAGCCCAGTTTCGAGAAGCTGTGTCGTCCTGCCTGTCGCGATCATGGAAGCGCTGTTGCATCACTTGCGAGAGTTTGAGGTGCAGTACCTATTTCTCAGATGCAGACTATCGGGGTTCCAGCCAAGGGGAAATGACGACTTCGCCGTTGTCCGCAGCATCATCGAGGACTAGACGACGACTGGATTACGTTCCTTGGTGTGTCGCTTCTGTTTAAGAATGCAGATTGCGGCGATGTGACTGATCCCTTCACTGCTCCCTTCACTGCTTTGTGCATAGCTTGCCGTTTCACGCCGATCCAAGCCCCAAGCCGTCAAAAGTAGGGATGCGCAACACCACCAAGAGCACACACACACACAGACCTCGTGTCAGCAGTAGCCGCAATGTTCATGATGCACATCAGTCAACCCCCCAACCTGACTCAAGACAGTCTGCTGTCATTCTTCGGCCTTTGGCCACGACCTAGCACTTAGCACTAACCCAGCCCACCTGAAACTGCTGGCATTTGAAACCGCAGCCACCTGGCGCCATGGTCACTGCGGCCATTGAGCATGTGCTGGTCAAGTTCCTTCAGCCTTACGTCTCGCCCCGAGATGATTTGAGTGGCCCTGGCCGGATCTCGACATCGAAGCCGAGGTTGATGGAATCGACAGCAACGACCTGCGGCTCTCACTCTGGAGTGGAAACCTGGAGCTCAAGGACCTGAAGGCACTGGGGCAGCCGGACCAGTAGCGGGGGTTTCTGCAGTTTGTCTTGGAGGCCCGTAAACTCTGACCCGGCTTAATCACCCGTCTCGTGGTTGCCAGCACGCCAGTGCACCCATCCTAAGGATAAGGGCAGACAACAATGTCATTAGGTTGGCGAGGAAGAAGGGCTTGCCTCCTTGCGCAGGTCAAGGAAGATGTTCTCGGTCTCCTAGGCGTGGAAGGCCACCTGGCTCCTCTCTGTCAGACCTTCCGGAAGAGATTGGCACCTTTGCCAGGTGTTCGGGTACGAAATGGCCGTGTTCATAGAATCAAGATTACTTTGCCGAGCAAGACGAGGCTTCTCTCAGGCGGGTCAATAGGATTGGCTGAGCTCCCAGGGGAGACTCGCAGCACTTCGCAGTTGGACAGGAAAGATCAGCGTGGAAGTCGAGGGTGTGCAGCTGCAAGCCGAACATCTCACAGAGAGCTTGGCGGAGTCTGTTCTCAGGACACATGCACATGCGTCTTCAAAAAGCGCGACGTCTTGCAAGATTCATAGGCACCGCAAAATTATACGGGCAGAGCCAGGATTGAACCTTCGTATTAGTATCTCCTCACACCTTTCGCTCGAATACAGAAGCTTGGAAACTGCTCACAGCGAAAAGAAACAGAAAGCACCAGACAGCGACCAGGAAAAATATGAAGGACACCAAGCTACAAGCCATCGAGCTACGCATGGCCCAACTTCGAGTGCCTTGGACCAGGTCAGCTAAATCAGGCAGTCACCAGGGTTTCGTTGTCGTCAGGCGGCCTCGATCGGAGCTTTGGGTGGCTAGCAGGCAAACATGATCCTTGAGGTCTTCCAAGAGCTGTACTTCGTAAAGCCACAGAAAAGCTTTCTGGAGCTGACATCTGCCTTTGCTCTAGCAAGGATGTTTGGAGACGCAAGCAGCAAGCGCAGGACAGACACTCATCATATTGGTTGTACGACGCCTTGTCTTGAGAGGTTGGCAGGTTGCATGTAAGGCGTTTAGCATGAGTGAGATCTGGCACTTACTCTGAATGATGAGCGGCTGACCAAGTCAAGTTGCAAGTTTCCCATCTGGGCTCTACCGCAGGAAGCCTACGACCAAGCCGAGCCAGGCTTCGGCATCAGGCCACACCAGCACTCTCATTAGAGTATATCTATAGTATAACATACTAAATAATCATGGTATGCTCTCTCTATTTCTGATTCTCTCTCTCTCTCTCTCTCTCTCTCTCTCTCTGTCTACCTCGCTGCCTGACACTGCGGATACATGGCCATTTATGCATGCATGCGTGCTTTACTGACTGTCCCGTGTTAATCGTGATGTAGTACAGTGAAAGCACGCACTAACTCACTAATTCAAGCAGAGGAGTGCGACAAAAGCAACCTGGCGCATGGGACTTGTGAGTCGGTTCTCTGCGTTCGGATTTCTCAGCTTTCCATCAAGTTTTGTATTCGCCTCATTGGCGCACCTTTGCGGCAGGTTTGCGAGGCGTCTCGTGAACAATCTCAGAATCTTGGACTCTAGCACCAGCTTGCAGCGATCCCAAGCGGCTGTTTGTGAGGGTGTATAGAGGCTAGGACGGGAAGCCAGCCTCCATGTTGCAGAGAGCAGTTTCGCAGTTGATCAACTGGACACTACGATGCTGTTCCTCGTACTGTTACTACTACTGTTACTGTTTCCATTACTGCTGTTAGTACCACTATCAAGAGTGTTCGGGCTCAGGCCTAGAGCTGTCGAAGGTGGACGTTTCCTTCTCCAGCCTCAACCCTGCAGCTGTTGGCGCTGCGAAGATGACGTCTTTGCAAGTGCTCTCCACGGACAGCTCCTTCCGGACGGGCCAAGATGTGGTACACACTGACCTAGGCACTGTAGGCATATCGATTCAGCCACATTGGCAACAGAAGGCTAGTTTCGCCCATGTGGCAGTGTTGGGACTCGGCGACAACGCCACTGTGCCGTTGTCCTGCGATGAACGTGAATTTACTTTGCCCCCCCATGGCCGGCCGGAGGAGATTCAAGCAGGACGAGGTTCTGGAGGCAAAGGGAACCTCCCTGTAGCGAGCCAGCACTCAGAGGGCCATGTAGGTGTAGCTGCAGCTGCTTTCGCGGAGCATAAGCTCAAGGAAAGGGCAGTATGTCACCACTTGTAGTAACCCCCCTTACTGTAGCAACCCTTTATAGTTTATTGTAGCAACCTGTTATCATTATAGTAACCCCAAGGTACAAAATCCTCAGCTTCGACGGCCTGAGCTTGGCCTATGGGCAGTCGATGGAGGCAAGTGCTTCAAAGTGCCAATCCGCAACTATGTGATCCCAAATAGTTTTCCCAGGAAATTTGTAAAAGAACATGATATGTGCCAATAGGGTTTTGGGGTACATGGGTAGGCCCAAACCCTGTTTCAATGATCTTCCCCCCCTCTGCTGTTGCGGCCAAAGTTGCAACCTTCCTGGTAAACGCCGCGCGCACACAGACCGCATGCCCCCCACCTGCTAAATCACCATCAATTGCTCCTCAACGAGGATTACTTCAGTTCCCTGCCAGCTAGTCGCCCGTTGGGCCCCCGCGAGCTTCCATCAGCATCTTGTTCAACAAGCATAGTAACACGCACCCAGCGATATCACCGTTCTTCCCCTCCGCCAACCGACAAAGTGTATAAGATCTGCACATTACAATCGTTTTTCCTGCAGCATGTTCCCGAGCATGTTTCATCAAACACAACCCAATTCCCAGCATTGATCTGCAGCCTGATCACCACCTGCAAATGAGCAAAGCCAGCTCACCAGGAGTTATCTTTGGTCCTGTGAACCTATCTTCCGAGAATGGTACAGAGGGTTCTACATTCTATATGCGTGAGATGAGGGCAAGTTACTTGTAAGGTCAAATCTTGCACCTGTCTTGACTGCCAATGAACACCGTGTGTTGCTGGTTTTGGCTATCATGCGTTGGTCATCATAGACCCAGCTGCACAGTCTCCCATTGAGATCAGAGGGCACAGTTGCAGAAGCCCTTGGTTGTCGAATGTCTACAGGCAAGGTTTTTGCTTCTTCGGAGGGACAGTATCAGGGCCCCTACTGAAGTAAGCCGACAGGGAAGCATGGTTATGGATTGCGTCCTCCTGTGCCACCTCGCCACAGGCCCTGGCAAACCTTGTGAGCCCAGTCCGGGCGGAGTTGAAGGCCAAGGGGTGCAACTTTGAAACGGTGAGCATGGCTCTTTAGCACGAGAAAGACGACCTTCTGCTACAAGCTCGTGGGTGTTGGGATGACCGGGTCCCTGCTTAATCTTGGCATCCAGCGCGGGTCTGAAACCATGTCCGAAGGTGGTTCAAAAACTATCGCGACGATAGCAGCTAAGATCCCAATCCAGCCCCTACGCCTCTCGCTTATCCCTGTCTTCTTCGCAGTTGGGCCACGTCCCCGATGATGGACTGCTGCGATTGGAAGTTGATCTCGGTACAGATAAGCCCACCGAGATTCACACCAAGCGCTCGCAGCTCATAGGCCAGGACACGCAAAGTGCAACCACATTTCGTGCCGCCGCTCAAGTCAGATTCGGTTTTGCCAGCCGTCGCGCAGGTGTGCTGGCCCTGAAGACAGCACTGAGCAAAAAGTGGGAGGAGCTGCGTAAACTTCTCGTCGATCCGAAGGCACACTTGCAGTTGCACGTTTCCAAGTGGTTCAGTTTAGAAAGCACGGCAACGAACGGAGAGCAATTCTTTCAGGAAGAAGAGCGGCTGAAAGCACGCCTCGATGACTCGGAGGCCTTCGGCTGCTAATTTTATTCAGGTGCTTTCTCGTTCTTTCGCCGACACTGGCCGGTACGCCTATAGAACCGGGAGCCATTTGGGCAAACATACTGTAGTCGCATCCCTCGTCACATGCGCTGCTGGATTGGCTTCAGGACAAGTACTTCAAGCTCTTCCGCCAGCGGTGCCTTGCTAATGTCGATGTCACAGAGGCGCTTCTGTGCCTGGTTGACGGTAGGGTACAGTATGGTTAGGCACGCTGCTTTGAGAGATCTAGAACGTGGAATGTAGATCTCCCTCTCGTTCTTCGTCCGTCTTTCTCGTGTGACTTGGCTGGTGCCTTTGCATTGCTATGACATGCGGCGGAGATCTGCAGACTGACGGTTTGTGGACTTGGGAGGAGAAGGTGGTCGCCGCGCTTTATCAAACTGGGCTTAACTGCAGCCAGCTTGAACAGCCAGAGCAGCAGGACTGCAGATCTGCGCTTTGGTATCCACCCTATTTTATGCACAAGATGTCACGAAGAGCCCCCTGCAAGAAGACTTCACCAGCTGGTGGCGAGGGACCTTGCACTCTGAGGAGCTGGAGACCCTGGAGACGGTTCTTCCTGTGCAGCTTTTGGCTTCGGTACTTCGGCCAAAAGTGGGTCTGGGTGCATATCTTGATCGACGAAATTCGACAAAACCCTGCGCAGCCAGTCAAACCAATGCGAATTCAGTGGTGCAGGGCGTTTTCGGCTTGTCCCAGCTATTCACTCAGAAACACTTCAGGACAGTAAAGGTATTTATGCGGGACTCAGGCTCAAAGTACGCTAATGTGAAAATCCGGTCACTTCGCCACCACACCGCAGGTCAAGCCTTGTGATGTCCATAAGCTGCCCTGAAGCTTCGAGTTTGAACCTCTGCCCTTGTTTGCGCAACTATGGGCAAGGTTTAGGATGTTTAGAGTTTATAGGGTTTAGGCTTGGGTAAGGGCACCGGCAGTGGTCTGACCGAGACAAGGCCAGATGCAGGGCGGAAGACTTCATAACGGAGCTGGTCAAAAAGGCCAAGCCGCAGGCTGCGGGAGGGTTCTGCCAAGCAGGTCTAAGGAGGTGATTGGCTCGTTTTCGTCAGGTGCGATGTCGAAAGGCTAAGGAAGGATAAAGGGCCGTTTCTCGGAGTCACACCCATCAGGAGAAAAAGTCCGGCGGGTGGTTCAGCCGGACCTTCTTTGGGCACAAGGTGGGAGCCAGATTGCTGACCAGCGGACCTATGTAGCTGATGGTGTGGTTCATCCCTCGGGTTCACCCCACAGCTTTGAATGCGATAAACAGCTGCTCTGAGGGCAGCCCGTTCGGTGGTGCAGCGGAGCGCCAATTGCAGGAGCCAGAGGAGTCATCCCTGGACAAGCTCAGCGTGGAGGATCTACTCACTGAGTTGCAGAGCGCTGCAGACGTAGAGGCCAGGCCGCATGCGCAAGGGAAATTGTCCAGCCGGTGGCTTGCAGCCCGAATACGCGGATAAAACAGACTCTGACTTAACCGTCTGGTTTTTCAGGGGGGGGGGGGGGTGCAGTCGTTGAGCAGAGTACACCACGTTGGAAGAAGCAGTTATCCGGTCGAGGTGGTGGAGCCCCCGCAGAAGTTGGTCGTGCAGTTATGTGGCGGAGGAGCTCCGAAGCTGCAAGGACCACTCGGAGCTACCAACAAGATCATCTCAAGATTATTACAATTAGTATTACTACTACTATTATTAT